GAGGCAGCCTGGGATCGAACCACCGACCTTCTGATTAGTGGCTGACCTGCTCTGCCACCTGAGCTACAGCCACCCCAAATAACTAATTGTCTGTTATTTGGGGTATTGTTAATGTTTTTTCACTACATCCACATTGTGACTGATGGTGATGTGATTGATGAAAGATGAGGACCCAAGTTAGTAAATGAAAGTCTGAAACTCATATCTTTGCTGTCAATAGTCAACAAAAAGAGATCAAATGATGAAATCAAAGCAAACAAACAAAATAGCAAATGCCGGGAACAGAAGAGAGAGCGGGAAAAGGCTTACGCCATAGGTCAAGGATCAGGCACACACGCACACACACATTTAAATAAGCACGTGCAATGCAGTTTAAAAAATGTTATTAATGCCAACAAGCGAAAGTGAGGAGTGAAAGGTTTAATGTAAATCAGAAAAAATCAATAAAAGACAAAAGCTCAGTTAAATATTAAATTCAATTTTTATATTATTTAAAAATGTTATATTATATAAATGGCGTTAATGAGGAAGGATAGAAACAGTGTTGCACTGTCCTCCACTTTAAAAATGGAAATAGTTGGCATGTATGTCTAAAATGTGAACACTCATTGGGAAAGGTAATAAATGCAATGTGACGCAACCAGAAATAAATCAACTGTAACATGTGATTGATCTCTGCTTTCACCCACCTGTTTATTGGTCGGGGTAGAAAATAAACATATTGGTCTGCAGTTTCAGATATATAAACCAGCCACACGTCAGACCTAGACAGACTTAGCAACTTAAACCTATGATGGTGAGTAACTTTTTACTTTACTCTAAATGTTGAAAAAGGTTTTGAAAATGTCATTAATCTAAATATAAAACTGCAAAACAAAGCAGACTGTTCACTTATTGCTGCAGATAATTTAATATTTGATTTCTAAGGAATTTTAGTTTTCAGATTTTACCATAAGTTTGAGTTTCATGTTTCTTGTGCAGCCTTTGTGTTTAATATGTAAACAGTGGTGGTCAGCTAGTTAATGACTGCAATATAAACTGGTTGCAATAAAACAGCATTTCTTTTTTATTAAAGCTGTCATTGCTGTTGTTGCTGGCTCTATCCTCAGCCAGCCCTCAGGACATCGTGAAGAAGCACTCAGAGGACAGAAATGGTAAAATGTAACTGGCATTATGAATTTGCAAAAGTGTCCTCATGAGTCCTTTTATGAAACAAACAAGTGAGATTCACTTTTTTATACTAGCTCTAAAACTACTTAGAGATGAAATGCTCAGATAAACCCAGTGTACACTATGTGCTCAGTAGCAATAAGCACTAATCAAACAGCTAAAGACCACACAGTAAAAAATGGAGTGTCAATATTTCAGAGAAAACCTATTTTAACCTAGATAGAGTATGTACAACTCTATGAGGAGTAAACCAGCTCTAACATCAGAGTTAAAAGTCAGTGTGAAGTTTGTTAGTCACGCAGTGAAGACTTAACTCCACACAGTGTTGATTATTGCCTGTCCGCAGGCGTGTGCGGCCTCAGAGCTCTAATGCGCATGGAATTTTCTTGGAAGAGCTGCCACAGTCATGTAAGTGAAGTTAACATTCCCATACTGGTAACATTGTTTAAAAGGTATTTTTAAACTAAACTCTTTATAGTTTCACTGATGTCGAGTGAGGACATGTTAGCAGCATTTACTCATAGGTTTAATGACATTCCAGTAGCTACATGCTAGCAGTTGCTAAAAGTTCAGATGTTCGTTATGTTCTCACTGCGTTAATATGAACCTAAAACATTTTAACTATGTATTTCTTCTAAATGCTATCTAAATAATATCATTGTCACATGTCAAATCGCACAGTTTGAACAACTAAATTACCTTCATCAGTAAGCTAAAACTCGCTAATTAGCTTACATAAGCGAACGTACTTTCAGAAAAAGTGGGTAACATTACCATAAAATTAACTTTACTGGTTTATATTATTTTAAGCAAATGCCAAAGGCATACACTACTTTAGAGTTTTGCTCATTATTTAGTAAGAAATGTGTATTTTGTGTAAATTAACTGATAGCAATGTTAATGACATGTTAAGTAATATTAAGTAATGTTTCTATTTTATAGAAAGGTTTAAGAGTATGCAAAAACCAAATCTCTGAGAGATGCAACCAGAAGACGGATGAGAAACAGGAGATGCAGACATCTTTCCTGGTCTCTTTCGCCCTTGTGCAGATGGTGGTAGCAGATGTAGCAGCAGCAAGATAGTAGACAAGTCACTGTCCCAGCCTACAGACGAATAAACAAAGAATTATTCCAAAAATACATTGAATTGACAGAATTACCTATATAACCAACAATGGCAAATGCCTACAAATTACATCAGTATCATTTAAATGATAAGTGAACTTACTTTTGGGAGATTTGCAAACTGAGACGCTTCTTTCCTCCGCAGCTTTTCTTTGAATGGTCTTCAACCGCCATGCAATGGCGCTCTCTGGATCGTAGTAATGTTTCTATGTAATTAAATAAACGAAGAAGGACTATGTTATCAACATTTCTGAGGGCAATTATGTATTTAATGTTGAAAAGTTCCCTTTACTTACATATCCATGTTGTGAATATGGGTCTTCCAGATATGGAGACAGAGCAACAATGCCCTGCGCATACATCACTCTTACGCTTTTAGGGGGAGATGTCCTAATGTATAAATTCAATAATTGGCATTAAACATCACAATTAAAAATAATACAATGTAAAATGTTTCTTTATATCTTACATTTTTGATTCTTACCCATGTTATTCTGTCATCTCAGCCTCAAGTA